CTGCAGCCTCGATCTCCTGGGTTCAAGTGATTCTTCCAGCTCAACCTGCATGCCCAGCTCTTTTTGTTTGTTTTGGTAGAGACGGGGGTCTCACTTTGCTGCCCAGGCTGGTCTTGGTCTCCTGGGCAGCAAGTGATCCTCCTGCCTTGGCCTCCCAAAGTTCTGCAGTTACAGGTGTGAGCCACTGTGCCTGGGCCTAGGTGTTTAATTTTAGCCAGAATTTATTTGGAGGGCTGCTGGTGCCTTCCTTAGTAAGGGAAGGTATAATTTAGTGAGATTAACACCTCATATACATGCAAAGTCAAATCTTCGAAATTAAGTACATATATTTAAATCTTTTTTTTTTTTTTTTGAGACAGAATTTCGCTCTGTCACCCAGGCTGGAGTGCAGTGACACAGTCTCGGCTCACTGCAACCTCTGCCACCTGTGTTCGAGTGGTTTTCCTGCCTCAGCCTCCTGAGTAGCTGGGACTACAGACAGGCACGTGCCACCACACCTGGCTAATTTCTTGTATTTTTAGTAGTTTCACCATGTGGGCCAGGCTGGTCTCAAACTCCTGATCTTGTGATCCACCTGCCTTGGCCTCTCAAAGTGCTGGGATTACAGGTGTGAGCCACTGCACCTGACCTCTTTTTAAGTCTTTAAAATGTGAAATAAGCAACAGACATTTATTGTAGGAAATTAGAAGAACAGATAAGAAGGATTGATTATCTGTAATTTTTCATTCAGAACTGCTGTTGACTATAACTTTTTTTTGTCTTATAATAAAGTATCTCAAGTTTAAAAATTAGGTTATAAGGCTGGGCGTAGTGGCTCACACCTATAATCCTAGCACTTTGGGAAGCAGAGGCGGTGGATCAGTTGAACTCAGGAGTTTGAGACCAGCCTGGCCAATGTGGCAAAACCTTGTTTCTACTGAAAATACAAAAACTGGCCAGGCGTGGTGGCACATGCCTGTAATCCCAGCTACTTGGGAGGCTGAGGCATGAGAACCACTTGAACCCAGGAGGCAGAGGTTGCAGTGAGTCATGATTGCACCACTGCCTAATTCAGTAACCCGTAACCATATGTGGCTGCTGAGCACCTGAAATGTAGCTAGTATGATGGAGGAGCTGCATTTTAAATTTTACTTAATTTTAATGGATTTACACATAAATAGCCACATGTAGTTAGCTGTTCTACTGGACAGCACTATTGTAGACGTTATAAAAAAATAAAAATTTCCATAACCTTGACTGTTTTTTATCTTTTTCAGTTGTGTTGGTGTTGAAGAGGAGAAGGCTGCTGACATTGACCTCTACCACTGCCCCAACTGTGAAGTCTTGCATGGGCCATCTATTAGTAAGTAGATCTTAGGGTTTCCAAGAGAGGACAATCCAGAGGAGAAACAAAGGAAGGAAACTTGGGGCAGTGATTGCTTTTACCTGAGCACTTCAGATTCTTCTTCCTCAGGACAAAGCAGAAACCTGCGCGGGCGCCACAGGCCAGCAGCTATCTCACTGAGAGGGCAGAAGTGCATAACTTCACCTCCCTCCTTCCTAAGGGTTGTATGGAGAAAGTACTCATCTTCACCAGGAACTTCTGAATCTGTGAGGGCGTCATTGACTCCAGATGTTCCAAGCGTGGTTAGATTGGGAGAGAGGGATTTGCTAAGGCCTTTGTTCTTGGTTTCATAGCTCATGATCGTTCTGACTCACAATCTCTCATCTTTTTCTGACTTAGTGAAAAAACGCCGTGGATCTTCAAAGGGGCATGATACACACAAGGGGAAACCAGTGAAGACCGGGAGCCCTACATTCATCAGAGAGCTCCGGAGTAGGACTTTTGACAGGTGAGGAGCCCTGCGTCCAAGGGCTGGTGAATGCCAGGGGTCTGGGAGGCTGGAACTCACCACTTCCCAGCTTTCCCAGTGGCTGTCCCATTAGGTGCCTCCCTGGTTTGTAAGTATCTTCAGGGCTCTTCAAGTTTCTTCTGGTTTGGTCAGTTTAACTTTTGGTAGTTGGGAGGCAGTATTCACCTAAGTTATATTACATTCAACCAAGGAGTGCTAACTAGAAGCCGTCTTAGGATGAGAAAGTTTAATTCTCTCATAGAGAAGAAGAAACTTAAAAAAATTATTGGTCATGTATTTCTTTTACGATCAAAAAGTTTTATCTTTTTTTTTTATTCATCTGGCCTTGTTAAAAGTAAATTATATGAATTAAGCAAAAATAATGAGTTAAAAACATAAGGAACAAAGTGTTCTCTTTTGCTTGGTTTTTTAATTCATTGGACGATGTTCAAGTTTTAAAAAAAAATTTCCATTTTGATTTTAGATTCAGGGAGTACATGTAAAGTTTTGTTACATGGGTATATTGCATGTGCTGAGGTTTGGGGTGCAAATGGTCCCATCACCCAAGTAGTGAGCATAGTACCCAGTAGCTAGTTTTTCAGTCCTTTCGCCACTACCTGCCTCTTGACTTGAGTGGTCCCCAGTGTCTATTGTTCCCATCTTTGTCTATTGGTACTCAGTGTTTAGCTCCTACTTAAAAGTGAGAACAAGCAGTATTTGGTTTTCTATTCCTGCATTAATTGGCTTAGGATAATGGCCTCCAGCTGCATCCATGTTACTGCAAATGACATGATTTCATTCTTTTTTTGGCTGTATAGTATTCCATGGTATATATGTACCACACTTTTCTTTATCCTTTCCACTGTTGGTGGGCACTTAGTTTGATTCTATGTTTTACTGTTGTGAATAGTACTGCAAACGTATCAGTGCATGCATTTTTTGGTAGAATGATTTATTTTCCTTTGGGCATATACCCAGTAATGGGTTTGCTGGGTCGAATGGTATTTCTGTTTTAAGTTCTTTGAGAAATATCCAAACTGCTTTCCACGGTGGTTGAACTAATTTACATTCCCACTAACATGGTATAAATATTCCCTTTCTCTGCAGCATTATCAGAATCTGTTATTTTTTGACTTGTTTTCAGGTTTTCTGTAGCTGAGGTGTTATTTGGAATAAGTGTTTCTTCAACTTTATATTTCTTTTTTTTTTTTTTGAGACGGAGTTTCACTCATGTTACCCAGGCTAGAGTGCAATGGCGTGATCTCGGCTCACCGCAACCTCCGCCTCCTGGGTTCAGGCAATTCTCCTGCCTCAG